CAGGTTTCACTCTGTGTAAGTAGTCTGTCAAAAAGTCTTCCTGGTTTCCTTAACAAATGGTTAAAAAAAAACCTTGGATCAATGTACTCATTCTTGCTTCTGGGAATCTGACTAGCCTGGGAACCCATCGAGCAGATAACTTTTGCATATGTAAATGGTTATGAATGACTTTGTTCACAGAGGCAACACAATTCTTGACATCGTGAGCTAGCTGACGACCAGTAATATGTCGATCTTCCAAAATGGCAGTTTCAACTTGATGAATGGTATCCTTATCAAAGACAGGCTGGGGTCACCTTGGGATAATAGCCGTTTCCACAGATCTCCGACCTTACAGAAACTGGTGATGTCAATGTGTGATGCTATATGGTGGGGCATCCTATCCCTAAGTTGCTTTCATTTCATCAAAGGTCTCTTGTAGTGTGCGATCATTCAAGTATGAAATACCTGATCACTACTCGATACTCCATTCACATTTTCACACTTTACTGCACTCTCACCGCTATAACAGAAATTCTGTCATGAGATAAGAATTTGAAATCAGCATGTTTTAGGCATGTGAAATTTTAGCCTCCTAGGATAAGTGGAAGTGGGTTAGGAGAAATCTTTACTGAGTCCCCCTTGTACCTATACACACACACATACACACACACACATATATATATATGTATGTGTGCGTGTGTGTGTGTGTGTGGATATATATAATATTTATATGGAATATATATCATATATGAATATTTATACTTATAAACAAATTCAGTTATATCACAATATTATTTCGTTTTATACATTTTAATATTGCAGAGTCAATATTTGAGACATGTATGGTTAGAAGTGAAGCAAAATCTGTTTAATCCGAATTCCCAGATCGCTGTCATCGCTTGCATGGTTGTTGTGGCCTTGGCTGATCAGGCCCCCTACCCCCCTCCTCTTGCCCCCCATCATCCTCCCCCACGCCCCTACCACAGTGGACCAGACTACCCTGATGTAAGTTTCTACCGCCTGTACTTGGGATTTTTTTTTAACCCTTGATGAATAAAGTTTGATTTAATGTCATTTGCTTCTGTTCCCTATAATATACTATTCATTAATCTCTTCCTTCTCAGCTTTTTTTTCCTTTTCTAGTCCGTCATAAATAACATTTCCCGACGCCACCTACACAGAATGAGAGTAGTCCGTTAAAGTGACCTTTCCCGACGCCACCCACACAGGTCCCACCCAAGTACACCTACAACTACGGCGTCGCCGACGGCTACTCCGGCGTCAACCTCGGTCACTCTGAAGCTCGCGACGGCTACAAGACCGAGGGCAGCTACGCCGTCGACCTCCCCGACGGCCGCAAGCAGATAGTGAACTACGTGGACAACGGCGACGGTCTTATTGCTGAGGTCACCTACGAGGGCGAGGCTCAGTACCCCGAGCACGCGCCCGCCTACAGGCCCGCTCCCCCAGCCTACCCTGCTCCCCATGCGTAGAGATATATGAAGACAACACATCCAGTCATTTCCAGCTTCATTCCAGTGCCATCTTTCCATTGTCGTTTAATGCAGTTGTTTGTTATATTCTCTTGAAAACGTTCATTAATAAATGTTTCCTTCTATGACTTTACTCCTTTGTTTTACCAAGACATAGATCCTCTTACACGACAATCTTGTATCGCTAGGCTTCATGTCTTGTTTCTGTTTTTGGCGTTAACAGAAGCTCGAGAAAAAGAAAAAAACATTCCATCCTTTTTCTATTATTTTTGTTAGTTCATAATTCAGAGCAAGCACTTAAGGACACTATACTCGATTTAAATTTATTTCATACAAATGGGAATTACACAGATGCACACACACACACACACACACGCACACACACACACACACACACACACACACACACACACACACACACACACACACACACACACATACACACACACACACACACACACATACACACACACACACACACACATATAAATGTGTGTGTGTGTGTGTGTGTGTATGTATGTGTAAATATATATATAATGTATATATGTATACACACACACACACACGCACACACACACACACACACACACACACACACACACACACACACACACACACACACACACATATATATATATATATATATATATATATATATATATATATATATAAAGTATATGTGCATGTGAATATGTATCTTTCTGCATGCATACCTTTATACCTATATAAACATATGTATCTATCAGTCTCTCTATATATAGAACGGCATATACTTCGATAATATGCGTATATGTAGCAGTTTCCTACTTACATTATGTTTAATGACTTTGTAATGAACTTATCTCTACGAACCCTTTTGAAATCAGAACGTGTTATTTCAACTCCCATGCAACAACTTTGAAGAAAGGAAGAATAAACATTGTACTGTAAGAATAAAAGACGAAAGTTCAAATTAGTGCCGAGAATGTTGATTAGTCTTGTGTATGCAAAGCCGAGGTTGAGCTTCTCTTATCGAGCTCTGGTCCCTCGTAGCCTTCTCTGAGCGCGCAATCCTGGCTGCCAGATAACAGCTGGAAAAGAGAAAGGGGGTTCGCCGTGGCACGTGTCTCGTGTTGTTTACATGTCCCGTGTCTCGTGTTTACATTGTTCTTTAGGGGGGGGGGGGTTATTTCATGAAAAAAAAAAGATCCAAACTTTGCAATATTTCACGTTTGAAGTTTCGTTATACATCAGTGTTTTGTAAATATACTATAATCATTTAAAAAGTACCTGTCATTATGCAAAGTAAATCTAACATAAAAGAAAAAAAATATATATAACTATATATATGAACACACACACATATATATCTAGGAATGTTATCTGGGGAAAAAGGAAGTACACCTGGATGATTTTGGAGGGTAGTGAGCTTATGTGTGTATATATATATATATATATATATATATATATATATATATATATATATATATATATATATATATATATATATATATATATATATATATATATATATATATATATATATATATATATATATATATATATATATATATATATATAACACGGAAGTATACCTAGATTGTTTTGGAGGATAGTGAGCTTATACGTATATATATATATATATATATATATATATATATATATATATATATATATATATATATATATATATATATATATATATATATATATACATATAAGCTCACTATCCTCCAAAACTATCTAGGTATACTTCCGTGTTTCATTAAGTCTAGTTTTAGAGCTAGAAAAGGGCAATGAAACCGTGGCTTGTGTGGGAGAGAAGACAAGTAATATATTCATAGACCAAATTAGTCAAGAGTAGGGAAACAAAATCCATTCTTTCTCAAACTATTCTACAGAAAATAAGTATGTATTAGATAACTACACAGTGCAAAGAGATATTGTGGACTGATTTCGATGATATCCTCATCAGAAATATACGTACTCCTGGTAGAGATATCATCAGAACTGATCAACTGCATCACTTTCGCTGTGAAGATATTCATTCTCATTCATTCTAACCCTATTCTTCACATTTATCGCAATAAACATTATTCGGACTCAACTACCTTATCTCTCCTCGCTATCTTCTATTCTTTCACTTTCATTCTTTCATTTTGCACGTTTTTGATCATTCTATTTCTAAAACAGTGACTTTAGTAGCCTTGGTTAAGTTCACTAGCGCGCCCCTACCGTCGTATTTGTATCCGTTCGTACGTGACAGTCTTGGGGGATGGATATCACTGTATGGCGGAGGTTTAAGTACAAAATTATAACGGCGACAAGCTGGAATATAATAGTATTCTCGATGTTGTTAATATTTTTTTGGGATGTAAATGACACTGACAACCAAAACTACAGTAAGAATAACAATCCAGATTAGAACTGCAGATTAGAAATGAACACAACATACATCCTTCGTTATAAATGTCATAGGTTGGAGAAAGGCCTATTCGTTTCTCCATTGTTAACTGGGGAGATGATTCAGGACTAGTGATTGACATTTAGATCTTCCGCCGACAAGAACTTTACCACTTTTATTTACTTACTGTCATGTTTATTTACAGACTGCCGCGTTTACTTACGTACTGCCATGTTTATTTACAGACTGCCGCGTTTACTTACGTACTGCCATGTTTATTTACAGACTGCCGCGTTTACTTACGTACTGCCATGTTTATTTACATACTACCATGTTTACTTATGTACTATCATGTTTATTTATGTACTGCCATGTTTATTTATACACTGTCAAATTTACTTACGTACTGCTATGTTTATTTATGTACTGCGGATTCTACTTACGCCATGTTTATTTACTTACTGCCATGTTTATTTCTACACAGCCAAGTTTACTTACGTACTGTCATATTTATTTACGGACTGACAAGTTTACTTACGCCATGTTCATTTACGTACTGTTATGTTTATCTACTTAAAGCCGTATATATTTACCTACAGCCATGTTTATTTACGTATCCGCAACCGTTCATTATATACCGTGGTGGCTCTAGTGATTGCAAGGTTGATCAACACAAATTGAAGGAGGAAGCAACAGAGACAGACGGAGAGGATTGAGTATCAGCTAAGTATCCCCTTCAGCTAACAGATGGACCAGTCAATTACGTAAGGCTTGCTTGCGATCCTCGTCAGTTGCGTGGGAGAGTTGAATATCTATTCGTCGAATTCACCCTTTCTCTTTACTAAGAATACGTAATGGTGAGTGATTTCAATTCGTAAAAATAATTGATAGCGACTGATTTCAGTAAAGGAAGGTAAGGCTACAAAATAATGGAGGATTATTGGGGAATGTGATGGAGAAAGAAAAGTAAGAAAACTCATTGAGTATAAGACATTTTTGAGGAAGCAGTTTTATAAACCATTATACATACATGCATATATATATATATTTATATATATATATATATATATATATATGTATATATATATATATATATATATATATATATATATATATATATGTACATATATATATGTATGTATGTGTGTATTCACATACCCCCCCCCACACACACACATATATATATATATATATATATATATATATATATATATATATATATATATATGTATATATATATATATAAATATATATGTATGTATATATATATGTATATATATATATATATATATATGTATGTATATATATATATATGTATATATATGTATATATATATATATATATATATATATATATATATATATATATATATATATGTTTATGTGTGCATGTCTGTATGTATGAATAAAAATATACATATACATTAGAAATGTATATATCATCAGATGTTTTTTCATGCATATCAGACTTTGATCCCTTTCTATTGCATCCTTCATCGCCTAAAATATCCCACTCAAAGCTTCGTCGTCAGAGCGAGGCGAAAGTGAGAATCCGGCGCGAGTATAAAAGGCCTGAGCTCGTCTTGGGCGCCATCATTCCCTCCGCCGCCATGTCCCTCAAGGTAGGCTCGTGGACTCGCTCTCATGGGGCTGTGAAGTGACTCATTTTTATGTGAAAAGTGAATATATGATCATTAATTTTGTGTGGATACTATATATATTTCTTCAAATGCGCTGCTATCACTGATGCGTATATAATAACATACGTATATATACTTTGTATGTATTTATGCCCACACATATACGCATACATATATAGATTTAGATATATATGTGTGTGCATGTGTATATATATATATATCTGTACAAACGAATGTATGTATGCGCTCACTCACACACACATTTACTATATATATATATCTGTACAAACGAATGTATGTATGCGCTCACTCACACACACATTTACTTCCAGCAGTATATTTTATATTATTACTTCAAAGTTTGAAACACTTCCGAGCTTCAAAAGGAAATTTTGAAGACGCGATCGAAACCGTAACACCCACTTCCTTCATTCCCAGATCGCCGTCATCGCCTGCCTGGCTGTTGTGGCCGTAGCTGATCAGGCCCCCTACCACCCCCCTCCTGCCCCCTACCACCCTCCACCTCGGCCCTACCACAGCGAACCAGACTACCCTGATGTGAGTTTCTTTTTGTTACTCCCTTGATAAGTAGAGTTAGATTTCCTTTGCTCTGTTTGTGCTCCCTATGATGTCTATTGAAGTATTTTCTTCAATCTATTTACTTTCTTTTTGTTAGTATTTTGCACATGATTCGTTTCCTGTGATGTTTAGGAGATGGGACATATGCACATAATATATGATACAGAAATCGCACTATCCCTATTTTCATTCTCAAGGCTGTTAAGTAAATCTTTCCTGATGCCACCTACACAGGTCCCACCCAAGTACACCTACAACTACGGCGTCGCCGACGGCTACTCCGGCGTCAACCTCGGCCACTCTGAAGCCCGCGACGGCTACAAGACCGAGGGCAGCTACACCGTCGACCTTCCCGACGGCCGCAAGCAGATCGTCAAGTACGTGGACAACGGCGACGGTCTTGTAGCGCAGGTCACCTATGAAGGCGAGGCTCGGTATCCCGAGCACACGCCCGCCTACAGGCCCGCTCCCCCCGCCTACCCTGCTCCCCATGCGTAGAGACATGCTAACAACATTGGATATATCAA